AGCTTCAAAATCTCCCCTTCCCCTACCGCATCCCAAAACCAGCCCAGCTTGTCCCCGCCTCCCTAACCTGTCCTTCCTTCCACCTATCCCCTCCTCCCACCTCAAGCCCCACCCCCATCTCCTACCTCCTAACCTCATCCCGCCTCCTTGACCTGTCCGTCCTCCCTGGACCGACCTATCCCCTCCCTAACTCCCCACCTACACTCACCTTTACTGGCTCCAACCCCGCCTCTTTGACCTATCTGTCTCCTCTCCACCTATCTTCTCCTCTATCCATCTTCTATTCGCCTCTCCCCTCTCCCTATTTATTTCAGAATCCCCTTCCCCTCCCCCATTTCTGAAGAAGGGTCTAGACCCGAAACGTCAGCTTTCCTGCTCCTCTGATGCTGCTCGGCCTGCTGTGTTCATCCAGCTCTACACCTTGTTATCTCAGATTCTCCAGCATCTGCAGTTCCTACTATCTCTGACTGATAGAAGTCCTCAGTTGGAACAGAGATGGCTGGATGCCTCACCTGTCCAATGAAGAATTTTAGACAGCTTGGTGATGGGTAGGAGAACAATGGGAATACCACGGGGGGAGTTTTGAAGAACTCCTCCCACTCCCTCACCACATCTTCCAAACGTGCCAGTGAGTGGGAAGGTCTCCAAAATTCTGCCCTTTTTAATTTGGTCTCTTCATCTAATGTCATGTCTACCTGTTTACTTCCTGATAAATACTGGTGCAAGGTAACAATTCAATATTTAGTGTAACCCGATTTGTTACAGTGTTGATTTTCCATCCTGGAAGTGGTTTTGAATTATAGGTTGACTGCAGGAGCAAGTTGCTCAATGAGCAAGGGATACACTGTTCAGAATTTCTGCAGTGTGGATTATTATAACTTGAATTTGATCTTTGGTTCAGATGTTATTTTGAATTAAATATACATCATTAAATTTCTTCGCAGAAATCTGGCCACTTCTGTTTTTTTTTCCCCAGAGGGACCTTCAGCTGGTAGTGTTTTTGAGAGAGGTCACCCTGAACTATTTCATGGTGCAAAAAATATAGAACACCAAAACTGTGTTCTACATGTTGGTGTAGAAATTCTGTCATGTCCACATTTGTGTGAATGGAGGATACACTGAAGCAGCTGATTAATGAGGCCTGAGGCTTGCAAATGTTGGGTCTTGGGCCTTGTTATAATGAAACTGTCATAGCATTAGAGACTGTGGCAGAAGTTGAGTAATATGGTAGCATTGGTATGTGGATCCAGAGATGGAGATCCAAAAGACTTGGGGACAGGTAATCAGGGGTCAGATTAAGACTCGGTGCAGGAGAACTGCTCAAAGATCAGAAGAGGAAACCAGTTACTCTGGATTTGGAAAAGATTAACAAATTGGCAGGAGAGGCTAAGTTCATTAAACCAATTGCAGCTCATTCGTTTTTTAAAAATTATTTATTTTTGTGCTTAGCCTTATTCAGAACGGTAGATTTGGATTTTGAGCAAAGCTAATCTGTTTGAGTTTTGGAAAATATTTAAGCTGTACTCAGTTTTAGTTCTTTTTTCGAATGAAAGCAAAATATTGCAGATGCTGGAAATCTGAAACAGTGGATGCTGGAGAAACTCAGTAGGTCTGGCTGTATATTTGAAGAGAGAACCACAGTTAATATTTCAAGTCCCCTCTTTGTCTCTTTCCGCAGACCTACTGAGTTTCTCCAACATTTTCTGTTTTGGTTTAATATAATTGTCATCTAGTACCCTCCAATAATTAATGACGTTGTTATATGAACTCAATTGTGAAGTTATTCCTTTATCATGTGACAGTGCTACTTTCTGACTAGATTGTGGGTTACTGCTAAATCTAATTCAAGGCACCACTGCTTTTCAATAAGAGTCAGATAATAGCAGTTATTCAAGTATGGAAGTACCGACCAAAATGCTACACAACAGAAACTGAAGCAGTTATCAAAAAACAATAACTGTTATTCAATCACCAGTTAATGTTTGCACTAAAATAATCTTCCATTTTAGTTTGTCACATTTGGAAAAACCATATCACTTTTTCAGCAACTCCCTCGAAAGTTTTTAAAATTATCATTGCTGATCTTAGAAATAATTTAACAGCTGGTCACAGGAGAAAACTACTGTTCAAACCCCAGTGTTCATAATGACTTGAGCAATGACTTGATCTGCAACGCATTGATTTTTGTCATTGTCTAGAACTTAAGTGGCAATTTGTGAGTACGTCTCCTATTTACAGGCTACAACAAAAATCAGGAGTGGAATTTAGTGGATCCCATTGGAGCAGACATGATGATGGGTGAAGGGGAGGAGAATTAGGCAGGAGTACCAGTATGGATACCTAGTATCAGGAAAACTGTGCCAATTAAGTTGGTTAGGAGGTACTTGATAAGGGGAACCTGCCCATCAGCAGTAGGGTGTCAATTAGGCTCATTAACAAGCCAATTGGCAGTTAACCCTTAAGTTACCACAAATTAGTGGTGGCTCAAGAATTAACTCAGAGTTACACGGCTTTCCTGTTGATCCCAATGCTCGCCGACCAAATCCTGTCGGTTTTGCCAGGAGCCTTCCAGAAAGGGTGCTTTCGTTATCAGGTACTCAGTGTCTGATCGAGCCACCCAGTATCAGGAGGAGGCCACTGATAACCACTTCCCTTCTGTTGAATCTGACCTCCCCCTTCCTGTGACCACCATCCTTCTCTTGCTCACCTTTGGCCTGAAATCCTGCATTAATCCTGGGCCTCTCGTGGCTGTCACTGCTGCTAATGGTACTGGCAAGGTTCCACACTAATTCTCCAATTGCTGGGTGAGACAGCCATTGGATCCATTAAATCTTGCCTCATGAGCTCTAATGCACCCTATTGAGCTCTTTTACTTAAATGCTGTCAATTTGCTTTTACCACAAATGTAATAAAACAAGGAGCAAAAATAACATAACATGCAATAAATTTTCCTGTCACAAATTCAATACTTTAATATTTAAAAACTAGTCCTCTTTTGATAATGTCTTTCCTCACCATGAGATTCTTGGTCTATTGGCAAATAATAGCTAATATCAGGTGTAAATTGTAATCTTTAAACTTAATGTTAACACCATATTTACATTTCTTTCAACACATACAAACTCAAATTAAAAAAAAAAATCACTGGAGAGATATAAATTATTTAAGATAATAAAGAATAAGGAGCTGGCTATTAATGTTGAAAATTAAATTTACAATAAGGCAAGGCAGAATATAAACTTTGCCTAGTATTTATTGCTAACAAAAATGTACATTTTTCAATTTAATCACATAATCTCTTACTTTGCCAACATTAACTGCACCACTAACAATGTAGAATTAATCGCGCAGAAATAAAATCTCAATCTCAGTTCATAAAACTTCTGTAAAGTCCAAATGACCGTGAAACATTTCTATCAAGCCAAATGTACTTAGTTCTGAATGTCAAGGGGAATAAGTACTAGAAAATAATCTTCTTGTGGGTATGAATCTTGTCAGTGAAATTATCATGTTTTAAAAATGCACACGTTCTTAAAATACAAGGCATAAAAGTTAGTTATTCTCAAAGGCTTAGGGTGGATACTGCAACATTCTTAATGGGTTTAAAGGAATCAGTGTGAAAATTAACTTCAAAGTAGTTAGACACCAGGATAGCTTCAAGATATATTTTGTCTCTTCTCTCTGTAAGATGATTGTCCTTCTGCCAGCCAACATGTCCCTTTCCACTCCATCATATTAGCCTATGAAAAGAAAAGTTTTTTTTTCTCTCTGCTGGGAAGCTAGTCACCCAAGCTGTTTTCCAGTGGGGAGAGGTGATTAAACTACAAGGCATGCACAAAAATAATGTCATTGTAATGCAGAGTATTAAAGTCCTCAGAAGGTCAGATTAGTTTTGGTAGACTAGCTAGGAACTGAAGTGTAGAAAGGCTCAAGCACATTGTTGTTCTGACCATCCTGCGTCTTTTCATGCATCTGACTGCAAGTTTCATTTTCTATCTTGGATGTTTGTCTATCCTCTGCCCGAGATTTTCTGAATCTGAAAAGTAAAGACCATAAAATGATGTTTGTGTATGGTTAAGAAGGGGGCACCGACATTCACTATAGAACATAGAACATAGAACAGTACAGCACAGTACAGGCCCTTCGGCCCATGATGTTATGCTGAACTTTTACCCTAACCCTAAAGTCTATCTGACCTCCACCCCTACCTTAAACTATCATCCATATGCCTATCTAATAGTCGCTTAAATGCCTCTAATGACACCGACTCCACTACCCTCTCCGGCAATGCATCCCCCTTCTGACCACTCTCTGAGTAAAGAACCTACCACTGACGTCTCCCCTATATCTTCCTCCACTCACTTTAAAACTATGCCCCCTCGTAATAGCTATCTCCGTAGCTAACACTATGTTGAGTGTTAAGGTGTATACAGAATTTTCAATGTAACATTTCAAAGCAACTAGAACCCAAATCTATCCTCCTCAAAGTACTAGTAACCTCCACATCCTCACTCTCATTGAAGTATCATAGTGATGACAAAGAACAAAGAATTTCTGCTGTAATACTTTGTGACAATGTTTTCAAGCTTACTGTTCTATATCAAATCTTCTCTCCTTTTTTTCCTGTAATTAGTGACTCATCATTCTATAGATACAAGAACCCCTCTAATAATCTGTCCACATTACTATTCTTAAATTGCGAATTTAGTTATCAAGTTAGCAGGCTCTTCAGCAATAGAGACATCGTGACTTGATCTTCTCCGTTGAAATGTAGTCTTTTCATTAGGAACCCTTGTGTAAAACACAAAGGTAAGAATTCTGGATCATTTCCTTTTCTTCCCTGTGATGAACCTAGTTTTTCACTGAGAAAGTTCTAACTGCATCTCAGGAAATAATGATTTCTTTCTCTTTCCTTCCTGTATTACAATGGGAACTGCTTTGAATATTGTAAAACATAAATACATGATAATAATAAATTAATCTATTTATCTTATTCACCCTGGAATGAATATTAAATGCATTATATCTTTTGTGTGTGATCTCTACAATGGTTAGATGAAAAATGCACTGTTAAACCCCATGAAACATAATATCCTCCATAAATTAACTGATAAGTCCAATCGTTAACATTAAGATAGTCCAGTGCATACTAACATTTATGGTATTTCAATGGCAGATAATTGCTTAACTTAAAGAGTCATCACTGGAGACTTGTTTTATCCATAAGCTTATGCAATTTTTAAAGTCTCTACTTTGAGGTCAAGCATTCAGCAACTTGCAATTGATTAAAGTAGAAATTAAAGTAGAAAACATCTTACCCAAGATATTTCACAGGAATAATGAGACAAAAAACAACACAAGACAGCACATAATGCAATAGACATGACTACTGCCAGCGCTGAACTAGTCAACATTATGCCCTAACCCAGAAGTAGTTGGAGGTATTGCAAAATCTTTTAAAAGCAATGAGTTTTTAATATAGTATCACACAATACTCTTGTGAGGAAGTTAAAGTCCATGGAATAAAAAAGGACAGTATGCAACATGGATACAATTGTCTGGTAGGAAAAACAATTATGAAAAATGGATATTTTTTCTGCTGGAGGAATGTTTGTAGTGGAGTTCCCCAGGAATGGGTATTGGAACCATTACTGACATATTAATGAGATCTTGGTGTACAGGAGGCAATTTCAACATTTGCATATGACACAAAACCTGGAAGAATTGTAAACCGTAAGGAGGATAGTGAACTTTAAAAAAAGCTTAGACAAGATGACAGAGTGGAAATATAGGCGGTAGATTGGTTCAATGCAGAGAAGTGTGCAGAGATGCATTTTGGTCAGAAGAACATTGAGAGACACTACAAAATAGAAGGTACAATTGTAAAGGGATTGCAGGAGCAGAGGACATTGATGTATATGTTTACAGATCACTGAAGGTGGTGGTACAGGTGGAAAGACCAATTAAAGTATATAGTATCCTTGTTTTTTTTAAAATAGGGGCATAGGGTACAGGAGCAAGGAGGTGATGTTGAATTTGTTAGACCTCAGCTGGAGTATTGCGCACAGTTTTGGACACCCCATGATAGGAAGAACTTAAACACATTGGAAAGAGTGTAGAAAAGTCACAAGAATGGTTCTAAGCCTGAGAAATTTCTTTTATGAGGATGGATGAAAGAGGCTGGTACTGTTGTCTTTGGAGAGATGAAGGCTAAGGGAAGATCTGATAGGGGTTTTCAAAATCATGAGAGGTTGGATAGATAGATGGGGAGAAACTCCCACTTGTAAAAAGATCAGGAACGAGAGGCATAGATTTAAAGCAAATTGCAAAAGAACCAAATGTGAGATGACAAAAACTTTTCGCACAGCAAGTAGCTAGGACATGGAACATATTGCCTGGAAATGTGGTAGAGACAGGTTCCAATGAGGCATTTGAGAAGACAAAAAAGATTGGTGAAGACAATGTAGGTCTCTAACAGTTAGAAACAGGAGCATTTATAATGGGAAACGAAGGAACAGATGATCAACTAAATATATACTTTTATTCTATGTTCATAAAGGACACAAATAACACATCCCAAATGCTGGGGAACACAGAGTTTAGTGAGAGGAGGGAACTGAAGGAAATCAGTATTAGTCGGGAAATGGCGTTCGGGACATTGATGCGATTGAAGGCCAATAGATCCCGAGGCCTGGATAATCTACACCCTGGAGTACTTAAGGAAATCGCCCTAAAAATAGTGGATGCATTGCTAGTCATCTTCCAAGATTCTACAGACTCTAGAACAGCTGCTACAGATTGGAGGATATAAGCTCACTACTTAAAAAGGAGGCAAAGAGAAAACTGGGAATTATAGACCAGTCATCCTAGTGAGAAAAATGCTAGCGTCCATCATAAAAGAACAATTGCTGAGTATTTGGAAAACAGTGGCAGGATCAGCATGGATTTTTGAAAGAAAAATCATGCATGACAAATTTACTGTAATGCTTAAAAGTAAAAGTACACGGGAGCAATTTTTTTACACAGAGGGTGGTTTGCGTGTGGAATGAACTTCCTGAGGAAGTGGTGGATGTGAGCACAATTGCGACATTTAAAAGGCATTTGGATAAGTACATGAATAGGAAAGGTTTGGAGCGATATGGGCCAGGAGCAGGCAGGTGAGACGAGTTTAGTTTGGGATTATGTTCGGCATGGACAAGTTGGACCGAAGGGTTTGTTTCCATGCTGTATGACTCTATGATTCAATGTGATGAGTAGAGTTGATGAGGGGAGCCAGTGGGTGTGGTTTATTTGGACTTTCAGACGGCTTTTGACCAAGACCCGCATAAGAGATTAATGTTGGACTGAGCGTAATGTATTGAAATGGAGAGAAACCTGGTTGGCAGACAGGAAACAGCGTAGGAACACACAGAGGAGTTCTGAGAAAGAGTCACCAGACCCGAAACGCTAACTCTGTTTTTTCCTTCACAGATGCTGCCAGACCTGCTGAGCTTTTCAAGCAAATTTGTTTTTGTTCCTGATTTACAGCATCCGCAGTTCTTTTGGTTTTTACTGAGGAACAAATAGGTCTTTTTCCGAATAGCAGGCATTGACTAGTGGGGTGCCGCACGGATCAGTGCTAGGATCCCAGATACCCACAATATATATTAATGATTTACATGAAGGAACTGAATGTAATAGCTCCAAATTTGCAGATGACATACAGCTGGGAGGGAGGATGAGCTGTGAGGAGGATGCACAGATAGTTCAGTGCAATTTGGATAAGCTGAGTGAGTGAGAAAATGAGTGGTAAGTATGAACTTATGGACTTTGGTAGCAAAAACAGTAAAGCAGATTATTATCTTAGTGGCAATAAATTGACAGATGGGAATATGCAGTGAGTCCTAGGTAACCTTGTACACCAGTCACTGAAGGTACACATGCAAATGCAGCAGGCAGTAAAGAAGGCCTTCACATTGAGAGGACCCAAATACACCAGCAGGGATGTCGTTCTGCAGTCATACAGAGGCTTGGTGAAAAAACACCCAGAATATTGTGTGCAGTTTTGCTCTCCATATCTGAGGAAGGATGTACTGGCCATGGAGGGGGTGCAGCAAAGGTTTACTGCACTGATAGTAGGACTGACATATGAGTTGGGCTTGAAAGGATTTCAGAAGAATGAGGGGAATCTCATAGAAACCTAAAATCCTATAAAATTCTAACAGGCCTAGACAGAATAGATGCAGGAAGGATCTTCCCAATGGCAGGGGACCCTAGAATCAGGGGTCATGTAAACCATATAGGACTGAAATGCAGAGAAACTTCTTCACAGAGAGTGGTGAGCCTGTGGAATTCACTCCCACAGAAAGCAATCAAGGCCAAAACATTGTGTGATTTCAAGAAGGAGTTGGATATAGCACTAGGGGCTAAAGGGATCAAAGATTATGCAGGAAAAGCAAGAACAAGCTATTGAGCTGGATGATCAGCCATGATCATAATAAATGGTGGAGCAGGATCAAAGAGTTGAATGGCCTATCCTGTTCCTATTTTCTATGTTTCTATGTTATGCTTCTTGTAGCAACCACATTTTATATGGCTGGCCAAGTTCAGTTGCTGGTTAATCCCACCTTTTTTTTTTATTTATTCATTTGTGGGATATGGAGTCTCTTGCTGGCCAGCATTTATTGCCCATCCCTAGTTGCCCTTGAGAAGGTGGTAGTGAGCTGCCTTCTTGAACTACTGCAGTCCACCTGCTGTAGGTTGACCCAAAATGCTATTAGGGAGGGAATTCCAGGATTTGGACCCAGCGACAGTGAAGGAACGGTGATATATTTCCAAGTTAGGATGGTGAGTGGTTTGGAGGAGAACTTGGTGGTGTTCCCATATACTTGCTGCCCTTGTCCTTCTAGATGGAAGTGGTTGTGGGTTTAGAGGATGCTGTCTAAAGATCTTTGGTGAATTTCTGCAGACAGTACACACTGCTGCTACTGAGAATCAGTGGTGGAGGGAGTGGATGCTTGTGGATGTAGTGCCAATCAAACGGGCTGCTTTATCCTGGATGGTGTCAAGCTTCTTGAGTGTTGGTGGGGCTGCACCCATCCAGGCAAGTGGGAGTCTTCCATCACACTTCTGACTTGTGCCTTGTAGATGCTGGACAGGCTTTGGGGAGTCAGGAGTTGTGTTACTCGGTTCAGTATTCCCAGCTTCTGAACTGCTCTTATAGCTACTGTACTTATGTGGTGAGTCCAGTTGAATTTCTGGTCAATGGTAACCCCCAGGATGTTGATAGTGGAGGATTCAATGATGGTAATACCATTGAATGTCAAGGCCGGTAGTTAGATAATCTCTTATTGGTGATGATAATAGCCTGGCATTTGTGTGGCACAAATGTTCCTGCTACTTGTCAGCCTAAACCTGGATATTATCCAGACCTTGTTGCATTTGGACATGGACTGCTTCAGTATCTGAGGAGTCGCAAATAGTGCTGAACATGATGCAATCATCAGCAAACATCCCCACTTTTGACCTGATGATGGAGGGAAGGTCATTGATTAAGCAGCTGAAGATGGTTGGGCCTAGGACACTACCCTGAGGAACTCCTGCAGAGATGTCCTGGAGCTGAGATGACTGACCTCCAACAACCACTTCTAATGTGTCAGCTATGACTCTAACCACCGGAGAGTTTGTCCCTGGATTCCCATTGATTCCTGTTTTGCTAAGGCTCCTTGATGCCACACTCAGTCGAATGCAACCTTATTATCAAGGGCTGTCACTCTCACCTCACCTCTGGAATTCAGCTCTTTTGTCCATGTTCAAACCAAGGCTGTAATGAGGTCAGAGTTGAGTGGCCCTGGCGGAACCCAAACTGGGTATCACTGAGCAGGTTATTTCTGAGCAGGTGCTACTTGATAGCACTGTTGGTGACACCTTCCAATACTTTACTGATGATCGAAAGTAGACTGATGGGGTGGTAATTGGCTGGGTTGGATTTATTTTGCTTTTTATGTACAGGACATACCTGCGCAATTTTCCACATTGTTGCATAGATGCCACTGTTGTAACTCTACTGGAATAGCTTGGCTAGGGGAGCAGCAAGTTCAGGAGCACAAGTCTTCAGTATGATTGCCAGAACGTTGTCAGAGCACATAGGCTTTGCAGTATCCAGTGTCACCAGCTGATTCTTGATATCACGTGGAGTGAATCAGATTGGCTGAAGACTGGTATCTGTAACAGTGGTGGATCATCCACTCAGCACTTCTGGCTGAAGATTGCTGTGGAAGCTTCAACCTTATCTTTTGCACTGATGTGCTGGGCTCTTCCATCATTGAGGATGGGGATATTTGTGGAGCCTCCTCCTCCCATGAGTTGTTTAATTGTCCACCACCATTCACGACTGGATGCGGCAGGACTGCAGTGCTTAGATCTGACTCGTTGGTTGTGGGATCGCTTAGCTCTATCACTTGCTGCTAATGCTGTTTGGTGTGCAAGTAGTCCTGTTTGGTGGCTTCACCAGGTTGACACTTCATTTTCAGGTATGCCTGGTACTGCTCCTGGCATGACCTCCTGCGCTCTCCATTGAGCCAGGGTTGATCCCTGGCTTGATGGTAGTGGTTGAGTGGAGGATATGCTGGGCCATGAGGTTACAGATTGTGCTGGAGTACAATTCTGCTGCTGTTGATGGTCCACAGCGCCTCATGGAGGGCCAGTCTTGAGTTGCTAGATCTGTGCGAAGTCTGTCCCATTTACACAGTTATGGTGCCACACAACATGATGGAGGTTATTCTCAATGTGAAGGCAGGACTTTGTCTCCACAATGACTGTGTGATGGCCACTCTTACCGATACTGTCATGGATAGATACATCTGCAGCTGGCAGATTGGTAAGGATCAGGTCAAGAATGTTTTTCCCTCACCACCTGCTGCAGACCCAATCTAGCAGCTATGTCCTTTAGAACCCGACCAGCTCAATAAGTAGTACTGCTGCTGAGCTAATCTTGGTGGTGGACATCAAAATCCCCCACCCAGAGTACATTTTGTCCCCTTGCCATCCTCAGTACTTCCTCTAAATGACATTCAGTATGTGGGAGTACTGATTCATCAGCTCAGGTAGGATGGTACTTAGTAATCAGCAGGAGGTTTCCTTGCCCATGTTTAACCTGAAGCCAAGAGACTTCATGGAGTCTGGAATTGAGGACTCCCAGGGCAACACCTAGAGACTGTATAGCACTGTGCTGCCACCTCTCATGGGTCTGTCCTGCCCATGGGACAGGACATATCCAGGGATGGTGATGGTGATGTCTGGCACATTATCTGTAAGGTACGATTCTGTGAGTATGACTAAATCAGGCTGTCGCTTGACTTGTCTGTGAGACAGCTCTTGCAATTTTGGCACTAACCCCCAGATGTTAGTGAGAAGGACATTGCAGAGTCGACAGGGCTGTTTCTGCCGTTGTCTTTTCCGGTGCCGAGGTCAATGCCAGGTGGCTCGTCCAGTTTCATTTGAGACTTTGTCGCGATTGGTACAACTGAATGCTTGCTAGTCGATTGAGAGTAAACCACATTGGTGGTTCTTTCACCATCTGGAGTCACACATGGGCCAGATTTCTTGATGGAAACAAGATTAGTATTTCCAACAATCGACAATGATCATCAGTAGATTCTTAAACCCAGATTTTTTTTTATTAAACTTGAATTCCACCACCTGCTGTGGAAGGATTTGAACCCGGATCCCCGGACATTACCTGGGTCTCTGGATTAATAATCCAGTGACAATAACACTAGCCCACATCACCTTCCCATTAAGCATTAACTGCTCGGAAGGAAATACCAGTGAAACTTGCGAATGATGCATACTGGTCTGCCCTGTCTTGTACATCTCAAAATGGAGCTCCAGTATGACCAATACATTCATTTCCAAGTTTTACTGTTTTTACTGGATTTTGAGGGTGTAGGTTTCAGCACTGGGTGGGAGGAGAATGTCTTTGTGAAACGTTGCTGAGAGGTTGTAAAGGGTGTGGAAGAATAGTATCTGACAGTTGCAGAGGGTGTAATTGTGGCTTCTAGCAGCATAACTAAAATTTCATCAGAGTTTGAAAGTATCCTCACATCACTAAACAATGATTTGAATGTCAATACAAATAAGAAGTTAATTAAGAGAATTGAATAATATGAAGCCATAACACATCCAGTATTAATACTCTTTTCTGGAAATTCTAAATGGATGCTCCCAATGGAAAGATAGTAAACAGTTAGAGGTTGAGGAACACATTGTACGAGTCACCGAGAGCAACTGCCACTCTATTGCTCGGTGTCAGTTTTCACAGAACTACCCCCACAAAACCCAAACCATCCTTCCATCCCCAAAACCTGCCACACCCAAAAGCTTAATTTCAATGGAGCAGCTTTTCTAACCAGCAAATAATATGCTGTATCAGCTTATCATGTGAAATTTGTTCGCAATAAAACTATCCACATATTGTACATCAGAGATTGAGTCCATCGGCCACAAGATAAAAGGATCCATAGCTCAATTGACTGTGGGGGACAAATGTCTGGCACCTTGAGAGGTCAAGACCTCATCTGTCCTATTTTGTACAGATGTGGGTGCCACATTATAGGAAAGATGTGAATGCACTGGAAAGAGTGCAGAAATGACTTACTAGACTGGTTCCAGGCTTGAGAAACTTCAGCTATGAGGACAGATTGAAGAAATTGGAAGTGTTCTCCAGGGAGAGACGAAGGCAGAGAGGAGACCTGACTGCGGTTTTCAAATCATGAGCAGTCTGGACAGAATAGGTAGGGGAGAAAGTGTTTCCGTTTGTAAAAGAATAAGAGGGCATAGATTTAAACTGTTGTGCAAATAAAGCAAGGGTGATGTGAGAGAAGAAAACTTTTTCACTCAGCGAGATAACAAGGTGTGGATTTGGATGAACACAGCAGGCCAAGCAGCATCAGAGGAGCAGGAAAGCTGACGTTTCGGGTCTGGATGCTTCTTCAGAAATGGGGGAGGGGAAGGGGGTTCTGAAATAAATAGAGAGAGCGGGGGAGGCGGATGGAAGGTGGATAAAGGAGCAGATAGGTGGAGAGGAGATGGACAGGTGGAGATAGATGGAGATAACTCTACACCTTGTTTTCTCAGATTCTCCAGCATCGGCAGTTCCTACTATCTCTTTTCACTCAGCGAGTTGTTAGGGCATGGAACGCTCTGTGTGGATACCGATTGGAGGCAGTTTCAATTGAGGCATTGAAGAGGAAATGGATCTTTTTGGATGGTAATGGTGTGCAAGGGTATAAAGAAAAGGCAGGAGTTTGGTACTAGCTAAAAGAAAGGGACTAGATAATACAGCCTCTCCGGGCATGATGAGCTAAATAGCTTCCTTCTGCATCATAATATTTCTGTGATTCTGTGATCTTGCTTGCATTGTCACAGGCTTGCCACTCTTAATAACCTCTGCACTTCAGACAAGACAGAACTTTTACTTGTGGAGACAATGCATGATGGCAGGAGCTTTATATAAGGGATCATGAGCTATCCTATTAGGGGAGGCAGCACCGAGGGAAGTGGGTCCCCTTTTAATAAATCAAATATGAAGGAGAGAGCTGGATGATTAAGAAATTATTGCACTTACTTTTCTCTGTTGAATATGGTAAAATCATTGTGGACTGTTTCCAGACATTGTTGAAGATGTCCATTCTTTGAAATCACATGAAAGAAAAAGTGATTGTGAAAAAGAAATTTCAAAATACAAGAAAACGTTAAGTCAGCTGTGAAAGTCCCACTGAAGTTTTGGAAATGATTGATTCCAACAGTCTTAATGATCCCCCAAAAAATGAAAGATTATTTATTTCCTTACTTTATAACATTAGATCACTTGTATTATGGTGCCACTTGATTTGTTTGTGAAATGAAATCAGATAATTTTAAAAAAAACTGAGAAAATCTGAAAGCATTACAGAAAAGCAAAGAAGGATGCCAATGTTTAATTTTTTTTAAACAAAAGATAATTCAATGGAATAAGTAAATCTGTCACTGTCACTGGAAATCCATAGCACCACTGGGAATTGTTAAATACAATCAAGACATCTTACCAGTGGGGAACTTTCTTTCCCAGAATCTTTAGATTTATTCTTAGCCAGTCTTTTCTTTTTCTTGTGAAGTGGTTTGGATTCCAGTATCATTTCTTCTAGTTCAAAGGTTGGATCACAATTCAATCTCCCTTTCTTTTGCGACAGAGGAAAGAAAAAGAAATGAGAAAGTCAATTGAGGAGTGATTGGTCAAGATTAGCACCATTTTCAAAAAAATGTTTCATTATAAAGAGCAACTGCATTCAAGAGTTAACATTTCACTTTTCTCCTAATCATTGTGAATTCATACAGCAAGAAAAGAAGATGGAAATCAGTTGAACATTGATTCATCTGTGTGATGATGGGGTGCTAAATTAACAGAATCATCTTCTGCTTTGGATTGCTGAACAATGCACCACAAGTTGTAAAATGAACAGTCAGTTGCCGAGGGCAAAGAGAAATAATTGCATTTGTATAGCACATCACATAACCACTGGATGTTTCAAAGCACTTTACATTCAACTAAGTCATTTGAAATGTTGCTGTTTCACTGCAGGAAATGCAGTAGCCATTATGCTCACAGCAAACTCTCACAAACAGTAATGTGATCATGGCAAGATTTGGTGATGTTGAGGGGCAGGTATTGGCCAGAACCAGCAGGGATAGCTCCATTGCTCTTTGTTATATAATAGTGTCATGAGATCTTTTGCATCTATCCAGGCAGACAGATTTGTTGGGCAGGGGGGTGTTCCGAAGATTACTAAACTGGAGGACAGTACTTCTGACAGTGTGGCACTGCCTGAGTACTGTACAAACATGTCAGCCTTAGAATCATAGAACCAAAGGAGAAATTTACTTAGAAATCTTTACTCAGAGAGTAGTAAGGGCGTGGAATGCCCTGCCTGCAACAGTAGTAGACTCGCCAACTTTAAGGGCATTTAAATGGTCATTGGATAAACATATGGATGATAATGGAATAGTGTAGGTTAGGTGGGCTTCAGATTGGTTTCACAGGTCGGCGCAACACCGAGGGCTGAAGGGCCTGTACTGTGCTGTAATGTTCTATGTTCTAATTGCTGGAAAAGCTCAAGAGGTCTGGCAGCAAGAGAACTCTTCTGAGGAAGGGTCACCGGATCTGAAACTCTGCTTTCTCCCCACAAGTGCTGCCAGACCTACTGGGTTTTTTGAGCAATTTCAGTTTTTTGTTTCTGATTTTCAGCATCTGCAGTTCCTTCATTTAGAATCATAAAATTCCTTTCCAGTGTGGAAAGTGGCCACTTGGACCATCAAGTCCAGACTGACCATCTAAAGAGCATCCCATCCAGACCCAGCCCCCGACCCTATCCCCATAATCCCACATTTGCCATGGCTAATCCACTTAGAATCCCTGGAGATTATAGGGCAATTTAGCACAGCTAATCCACCCAACCTGCACATTTTTGGACTGTGGGAGGAAACCCAAGCAAACATGGGGAGAATGAGCACAATCCACACAGACAGTCGTTCAATGCTGGAATCAAACCTGGGTCCCTGGCTCTTGATGCAGCAGAGCTAACTGCTGTGCCACCGTGCTGCCCTTGATTCCTGCCCTCGAGCTTCAGACTGGAACCTTGACCCAGGACCTTACGGTTCAGAGACAACTCACTGAACAATGGCTGATCCTTTTACCAACAGTCTATAAGTGTACGAATGGGAAAAGTTACAGATTTCACTGATTTCTGGTTGCTCCCGCAAGTTTGGTGTTAAACAAATTAGATTTGTTTTTGCATGAAAACTCCCTGCCTGGGAGAGGGTTTCAAAAGAACCATTCGGCCCATCATGTCTGCGCCAGTTAACAAAGATCTGACGATATTAATCACATTTTCCAGCTTTTAGCCCATAGCCCTGGCAGTAGTAATATGCCATGTTAAATTTTAGATATTACAAATAATCCTACGCTTCATTGAACTAATCAAATACTGCTTCAATATTATGAGAGTCTGATTCAACTACCTTTTCAAGCAGTGAGCTCCAGACTCCCACAACCCTCTGAGTGAAAAAAAAACAATTTGCTTAACTCTCCTCTTAGCCTTCTTCCTCTTACATTACATCTATGCCCCATAATTTTTGACCCCTTTACTTATGGAAAAAATGCCTTCTCATCCACCCTATCTATACCCCTTCCTAATCCTATGGAGCTCTGTCATGTCCCCTCTCAATGTTTGCTGCTCCAAGGATAAACCCAGCCTATCCAATCTCTCCTCATAGCTCAGACCCTGCAGCCCAGACAGCATTTTGGCTATTCTCCTCTGCATCATCACTAGCACAATCATATCCTTCCTATTATACAGTGAGTAGAACTACATTTAGTACTCCAGTTGTAGCCTAAACAGCATTTTGTACAGTTCCAATGAGACATCCTTGTTCTTGTGTTCAATGTCTTGGCTAATAAATGAAACATCCCACACGTCTTGTAAACTGCCTTATCCACCTGCCCGGCTACTTTCAGCAATCTGTGGGTATGTACACTAAGCTCCCTTGATCTGCAGTTCTTTCCACGGTCATACCATCCATACTGTAATCCCTTGCTTTGTTAATCCTCCCCAAAGAACATTACTTCTCTCTTTTCTGGGTTGAATTCCATTTGTTACTACTCTGCCCTCCCGACCAGTCGATTAATATCCTTTTACACTTTATAGCTATCCTCCTCACTGTTTGCTACCACTATCAAGTTTTTTACCATCCATGAACTTCTTGATCATACCCCTTACATTGTATACACCACGGTAATGACCCAGCACAGATCTCTGTGGAACGCCACTGGAAACAGACTTGCAGGCACAGAAACATCCCTCTACGATCACCCTGCCTCTCAACCATTTTTGGATCCAACTTGCCACTTTAGATATGTTTCTGTCCTTCATTTTAATAGCTTCCCTACCACTGAGTTGAGACTGATCTGGCCTATAGTTTCCCTGGCCTTTCCCTTCCCCCTTTTTTTATTAGTAATGGGAGAATGTTAGCAGTCCTTCTGCTAACAGTCCAATAAAAAAAAGGGGTTGCATGGTGGCTCAGCGGTTAGCAATGCTGCCTCATACCACCAGAGATCAGGGCTTGATTCCAGCCTCGGGCAACTGTCTGTGTGGAGTTTGCACATTCTCCCCATGTCTGCGTGGGTTTCCTTTGGTTGCTTCGATTTCCTCCTACAGTCCAAAGATGTGAAGGTTAGGTGGATTGGCCGTGCCATAATGCCCAGAGGTATGCAAGCTAGGTTCATGGGAAATGCAGCATTACAGGGATGGGATAGGGTGTGAGTCTGGGTGGGATGATCTTTGGAGGGTTGGTGTGGGCTTGATGGGCTGAATGGCCTGCTTCCACACTATAGGGATTCTGTGATTCGGTCATCTGGCATCTCACCTGAGTCTAGAGAAGATTTGAAAATTGCTGCCAAGGCCCCTAAAATCTTCTACCTTGTCTCTCTCATCGACCTGGAACACATCTCAACTAGGCCTGTGGATTTATTTCCTTTTAAAGTTGCTAAACTCACTAGAATCTCCTCTCTTTCTATATTAATATCTTCTAATATTCCTGAGTTCTCAACCCTTATAGTTATAACTGTGTCATCCTTTTCTATTGTGTAAGTATTCAGGTCCACGCACAGATTATCTCTTGGATCCTAATGGACTCTACTCGTTCCTAATTATTTTCTTGTTGTTTATAAAAATATTTCCTCTTGTATTCTTTTTGTTTTCCTAATTTCCTTTTTAAGATCCCCCATGAACTTTTTATACTCCTCTGTTGTACCAAGTGCTCGGTATCTGCCATGAGATTCTCTTTTCTTTATCCTAACCTTTATCTCTCTTGATATTCAGGGTTTTCCAGACTTGGTCCTAACTATTTTTTTTCCTTTAGGGTAAAATTTCCTGCTTGAATGCCTCCTGCTGCTGTGATACAGTTTTTTTTTCTGCAAGTAGCTACTCCCAGTTCATTTGGGCCAAATTGTATCTCATCTTAGTAAAATTAGGCTCTCTCCAGTTTAGAACTTTTATTTTAGCACACCCTTATCCTTTTCCATAACTATCCTAAATCTTCCTGAGTTATGGTCATTATCTCCAAAATGCTTTTTTACCGTTTTGCCTAACACCTGCACAGGCTCATTTCTGAACATTATGTTCTGAAAAGCCCTCCCTTGGGCTCTTATACACTGACTTAAACAAAATTCCCCGGATGCAATTTAAGTATTTTGTTCACTCCCTATCTTATACACTGTATCTATCCCAGTTCATATTTGGGTAGTTAAAATCCTGTACTGTTACTACCTTATTATTCATACATTTCTCCAAAATGTGATTCTAAATTTTATCCCCTGTCACTCTCTTACTATTTGGGGGCCTATAGTACACACCCAATGGCAAGGTTTCCCCTTTTGTATTCGTTACCTATGTGGCAACATGTTGATGATCTTTTGAACATATCATTCCCTTCTCACTGCAAGAACTGATTCCATGAAAATCATTACAACCTCTCCCTTTTAAATCCCCTCACTTTCTCATCTGAATACCCTATAACCAGGTTTATAGGTTGGACTTTCAATCCTGCCTATCTTATAGCCAAGTCTCAGTCATAGCTATGATATCATACTTCCATGTGCCTATTTGGGTGGCTCAGTGGCAGGCACTACTGCCTCACAGCACCCAGGGACCTGGGTTTGATTTTAACCTCAGTCTGTGTGGAGTGTGCACATTCTTCCCATGTCTGTATGGGTTTGCTTTGGTTTCCTCCCACAGTCCACAGATGTGCAGGTTAGATGGAGTAGCCATGCTAAATTGCCAATAGTGTCTTGGGATGTGCAGGCTAGGTGGATTAGCCATGGGAAATGCAGGGTTACAGGGATTGGGTGGGATGCTTCTTAGAGGATCAGTGTGGACATGATGGGCCAAATGGCTGCTTCCATACTGTAGGGATTCTGTGATCTGTACCCTCACTTATTTATATTATTCGTCAGGCTCCTTGCATTAAAATATACTCCATTTAGCCTCATTAAATTCACTTTTTTCTTTTTCCTCTGCCTTCCAGACTCAATTACTCATATTTTAACATCTAATTCCACTCAGCTCCTCTCCCCTCTGAACTACTTGTCAGGATCCAAACCTCCTATCAATCTATTTGGTCAGCG